ATTTCGGGCAATTTGCATTTTAAGCCCCGCGCTAAGTATCTAATAAAAATTTCCAGAACAGTTATTTTTTATTCTAAATTTGCATGCATAATTCGAATATAACAAAGGAATTTTTATATAATCTACGATTTTCGAGTTATCGACAATAAAATTTCAAACTCATTCGTGTCGTTGTCGGCTACAGCACGGCAGCCATTATTGGCATTGTTTGCATCAGCGCATGCGTAATAATCGAGACAAGTGAATGTCTATTTCGCAACAAATATATGCAAACAGCGCCAGTAATGGCTACCGCGACGCGAATGAGTCCGAAATCGATAACTCAAAAAAAGGTAGATTTTATCAAAATTTCTTTGTTATTTTCGAATGTAAATGTACACGTAAATATAACTATTCGGGAAATTTTTATTAGATACTTAGCGTGGGGCTTAAAAAGTAAATTACCTGAAATTTCAACTAATTTCAGTGTCTTACAGCAAAGTTTTTATATAAAAAAATTTAACCGTCCTCAAAAGTACTTACTCTTGCAATTCCAGATTACGACCCCTAAATACTACGCGCTATTTATATTTATTTATGAGAGATTCTTGATGTCTATTATTGGACAGTCAAATTGAACATGGTCAACCAGAGAAAAGTACTCCTACTTATACCCCATCCGTGGTATCTAATTGAAGTGATTGAATTCCTGTTAATTAATCTGATATTATTGGAACTCTTTGATCGCGCGCGAAATAGAAATATAAAGTTATCATGTGTAATTGTTAACAATACAATTGGATTAGGTGTGAAACAACCAAGGTGTTAAAATTTCGCAAAATCTGGGCTCTTGGATCATCAAAATCAAGGTAAAACATATGAAAAAGGGGTTTAATTATTAAAACTAATTAGGACCCATCTGATGATCACTGTTTGTTCTATCTATCGTGAAGATGGCCCAGAAATTGGTAAAATAGGGTGGCATTTCTAAAAAAAAATGAGCGATATTGAGGGTACGAGAGCAAAATCTTGGGGTCCACCAGCCACCCGCGGTACATCGGGTACCGCGGTACATCGAGTACCGCGGTACACTGGTTCACCCAATAGCGATGGACTACTGTATTAATAAAGCGCAAAAAGATGTCTTTTTTGTAAAAATTGTAATTTGTTTTTTATTTATTTTTTACGGCTATGTTTACAAATACTTGTTTCAAACTTCCCATAATAGTTTCGAGTTTTGTTTGTTTTTGTATGCGTCTTTTTAATCGGAATAAGGTGACGTTCTCTCTTCTCCTATTCCTTACCAGTGAAAAAAAAAATCAAGTCCTTCCATTTCAATTTAACTACAAGAATTTTTTTTTTAGATATTTGATGTTGGGCGTATTGTGAAAAGGCTGACTTTATTGGGTCACAGTAAGGTTTTGAGAAAGGAAAGTTGTGAAAGAAAAAGGAAAACGACCAAAAGCGACAAAGCAATGCTGCTCAGAAATGGCATCAAAAACCCAAGGTTGTGTAGCAGGGACCTGGTAGTAGATTTAATGAAATCTGGTGTGTCCATATTTGATTCAATTGTCAGAGAAAACCACATAAAAAAATCTGTTGGCACGAAGAATGAAGGATAAATGAATCCAATGATCAAAATCTCATAAAGATTGGACGGTGGAAGATTAGAAAAAAGTGTTGTTCTCGGATGAAACGCACTTTGAAGTGAGAGGGCATTTATCTCGCTTTTCACGAAGAAGCAAAGTTGAAGCTATAAGAGATGGCCATGTTGAACAAAAGCCAAAACACGTTACCAAAAAATGTTCCGGGGCAATTTTAGTGCAAATGGGTAGATTGAGAACTTAATTAGGGGGACGATGAATAGCACAAAATATAAAGGTCTTTAGAAATTCCATATGCTCCCAACAATGGAAGAATTTTACCCAGGTGGAGAGATGATGTGTTTCAGCAAAATAATGCCACCTGCCACATATCGAAAAAAATGCAGAAATTCTTTTCAAAATTAGGTTGTAAAAGTGTTGAACTGGCCAGGAAATTCCCTTGACTCGAACCCTATTGAAAACTTGTGGTGGAAACTAATCTTAACTCTACAATCCTGCTCCTTGATTTCTTGATTCCTGGTTATCTTCATCTCTTGAGGAAGGACTCTAATGCTCACATGCATGGCCTGGGAGTTTATGTCCGCGATCATTTTCCGCTGGTTAGGGAACTCTCTCTTGAATCTCCACACCACACTTACATGTGTCTCCATATCTCTCTACTTAACTCAGTCAGCTATCTCTTCTTTCTCTACTGTTCCCCTTCCTCTCATGATTGTTGCGTGCTAGATAGTATTTCTGGTAATATAGATAAGGCCATTTTCCTACACCCGTTTGCAAATATATTTGCGTTCGGTGACTTTAATGGCCACCATACCAGGTGGCTTAAACACACTGCCATTGGCCCCGCTGGCATAGATGCCAGCGGGGCCAATGGCAGTGTGTTTATCATGTTGAGCAAGAAATGTGGATATCATGTTGAGCAAGAAATCACCAATCAGTGGACAGTGCCTTACAAAACATATTTGTTGCGAAAGTTCAACATATCAATGTTGAAATCTGCTCATCAATTCATTCAATCAAGTATTGCATCAAATACATATCAAAAGGGTCAGATTAAGCTGTTTTTGCACCCCGCTGTAATTTTTTACCCCTTTAATGTAATTTAAATTTAAATTTGAACAAGGGAATGACTCCTATCCAAAATATAGACGGAGAAAGCCAGAAGATGGAGTTTACACCGGCTAGATCTTTGAGTAATACTGAAATGCATCATTTTTCTCCACAAATTTTTCTCTCTCTCTCTCTCTCTCTCTCTCTCTCTCTATATATATATATATATATATATATATATATATATATATATATATATATAATCATATGGTATAATTTCTTTTCACGTTTTCTGAGATTTGCATATATCTTTAATAATCCATTCAAGCTTTATTAATTTATTCATCTTAATCTTTCTCCTTTTTCTTGCATGACGGGCAGCGCGTGGTTGTGTTCAGCATTTGAGGACAACTGTACCTAACCTTACGGCTGTATCAAGTCGACCCAGTTTGGTTTTCATTAGTCGGATTCTCTCTCTGGATGAATCCCTTTCTGATCCTTTCATCCCCACCCCTGCTCTATTTGTCCTGCTGTAATTATGTCAATATGAATGCTTCGGTCTCTGGAATTTGGTTAGCGATAAAAAGTCATTTTTTTTGTTTTAATGATTGATCTCTTGACAGTATATTCTATTTAAATCAATTTGAATTAAATAGACGACATTTGGCTTATTAAACATTTAAAATAAATGAAAAAATATATATATTTCCTACCCAGGTAACCACAGATTCAGGTCGTTTTCAAAAGTAGCAGCCAGGTTTTGTCAGCTCTGACGGATTTGTTATTGAGCCAGGAGTAAATGGCAGTGTCATCAGCATAAATGCCTACTTGGGAACTGATGACATCTGGAGATTATTGATGAAGATCAGAAACAGCGTAGGATAGAGCCTTGGGGGACACTTACCTTTGTGTGAAAAGATCTGGAAGCGAGCCCGTTCAAAACGACCTTCATTTCACGATTTCATAGTAACGATTGGGTTAAATCAAACAATCGTTCAATAATACCGTAGCCCTGGAGCTTTCGTAGAAGACCAGCATGTCAAACCCTGTCAAACGCCACAACTCGAGCTTTGCCGTTATTATCAAGAACTTGATATACATATTCAGTGATGTCCATTAGCATATCAGCGGTAGAACCGGAAAAACGGAAGCCATATTGTTTGTCGTGACAGGTAAGATACTTAACTACTTCAGCATTGATTAAAGTCTCGAATACTTTGCTGAAAAGTTGTAGGAACTGCAGAGGAGGACATCCAGCAAAAAGGAAAGCGGTAAGCAGCGAGGCAATAGTTTCAGAGTTTGGAGAGGACTGGAGCCAGCTCGGGAGCACATTTCTTTAGGATGATAGCTGGGATCCCGTCACCCCGCTTGCCTTATGGAAGTCAAACTTAGAAATAATATCCGAAACTAGTGACAGGGTAATGCATATATCGCTCAGTAGAGCAACTGTTCTATGGATATTCCAAATGAGTCGAGTTGAAAGAGAATTTCCGAAAAAAAACATTCGACATTACCCGCTGTAGATGTCAGGACTTCGAATTGATTGAATAGAGGAAGGATTGAAGATTTACTGTTGTTCAGTACACTCTTGCAGAGGGTATCCATGCTCAAAATGAAATATACTTATCCAAGTACCCTAGAAGTCATTCCCTTGTTCAAATTTAAATTTAATTTAAATCAAAGGGAAAAAAATTCAGTGGGGTGTTTGTGTCCCTCGGGGACCACTTTGAACAAAATGAAATAAATCTTATCCATGTAGCCTGAGTAACGTAATTTCAGAATATATAACGTTATGGTGGACTATCTCCAAAGCCCTAGGAGAAGTTTGATAACAAACACACAAAGGCTACAACTTTAGAGATTCCGGGGGAGTCGGGGGTATTTGAATCGTTCTGTTTAAGTTGAGAAATTCACACTGACATGAGTTTTCCAGACGACACTTGTATTTAATACAAAAAAGGTAAGTAACAATAATCATTTCGTTATTAAATTCTTGTCATTAATTTTTAATTGCTGAATATTAATTAATTTAATCATTTCATTAATTTTTTATCGATAATTATTCACTACTCTGATAGAGTTAACAGTTAATTAATAATAATTATATGCTCTGAATCTTTTTTCTGTAGTCTGTTCTTTGTTTTAATTAATTTTGATTCTTGTATGTTATAATTATTTTCGCTAAAAAATACAATTAACATTTTTTATTAATACGAACTATTCATGACATCAATTTTATTTTTCAAAAATAATTTAAAATCATACAAAACTTTTATACGAAAATTAAGTTAGAAATATTTACTGCCAACTTTGTACGTTCCAAACTAGAATCATTCTGAGCCACTACATTTTAGTTACGTATCCAACATGGGAAAGAGGAAAATTGCACGTGCTAAAAAATCAGAATCACTTGAGGAAGAAAAAACTGAAAATGTCGTAGTTTTACCATCTGTCATAAGTTCGGACGAACCTCCTGCAAAAAGAGTAATTTTTAAAAAGTTTTATTATTAATGTTATTGGTTTCTATGACTGTTTCTTTTTGGTCCATATGTAATTGTAATGTAATTCCTAATTTATTAGCCGATCGTTTTGTATAATTTTTATTTAGTAACAGTTACACAACAAATTTAATATATTCTCGTAGTAAATTTATTTATAACAGTTTTAACTGAATATTTTTCTATTTTGGATGGTAAGGCGAATAAATGTTTTTAGTAAATCTCAATAAATTTGGAGTCAGTTTCCAGTTTATTAGCGTAAATTAAAAAAAAATGATCTAATTTATTAATTAAAAGAACATAGGCATATTTTAATAGTGTTACCAACTGAAATAAAAATGAATGAAAATGTTTTTGTGAACGACAAATTCATAATTGTGTGATAGATGCTCATGAGCTGAATTGCTGTCGTAATTGTTATTTTTTTATAATTATGCATAAAATTGTTTGAATACTTTATTCAAAACTGCTAAACAAATTTTGGTACTTTAATCAAAAAAACAATGTTCAGGGGTGATGAAAATTTGTAACAGTCAAAAATTGCAAAAATTATGTTCATGTCAATTCAAAATAAGTTTTTAAATTGAACTTTTTTCATGGAGCATTGATTCTTTTTTCTTTCAGCATCTTTGACATGCAACAGGGAAAAGCTAGATTATATAAAATAAAATATAAATTATCTGCTTGATTTTTTTAATGATTAATTTTTTACTAACATATATGCAAATCATAAAACTTTAAAAAAAAAAAAAAAACGTTTTCACTTTTTCTTTTGTAGACCAAATGGATAAACAAACAAAGAGTATTGGTGTTTTCTACACGAGGAATATTGGCTCAAGCTCGGCATTTAATGAATGATATGAAAAGATTAATGCCACATTCTAAGCGAGGTAAATCGTTTCTCTTTTTTTCTTTCATATTTTCAAAATTTTAGATGAAAACCAACAAATTTACAGGATGAATGGAAATGATCAGTTTTTCTAAAATTCAAGCAACGCTATATACAACTAGAAAATTAAATAAATTTCTTTTTTTTTTTAATGCAAATTAGAAAGGTTTCAAAATCGAGGCTTAAGAAATCCGTCAAAGCAACACTTCATTGTAGAAAATAATTGAACAAAATTTTAACTTGCATTTAAGGAGAGAGAGAGATATAGGAACCAATTTTTTAAAATAACTATTTTCATGCTTGTATTTATTTTCAATTATTTCAATGATTATAATTTTTAAAGTTTAAAAAATACACATGTCTATGAATCTTGAATTAAAGTTAGTGATAGAGAAATAATGTATGAATTTTTAATGGATTTTACATCAAAATATTTTTTTCTTTGAATTGAGTAATATGTTCTGTACAAAAGTATTCCAGCATTCTTTTTTAAAAAAATTCTATTTTATACCTAGTTTTCAAAAACAAGAATACACGCACGTTTACATAAATCATTCCATCTCAAATCAATGGCCACAGGTGACTGTCTTAGAATAATCTGGGAAAATTCATAGATTTTACTCAATGAAAATGATTGATAAATCCAAAATATTAGATGTGTATCTTTTAATAGTTTTAAAATCAAAATATCTTGAAATTTCACTGCATTTTTTGTATTTTGCTTTCAAAGTACTTAATATTCATAGTTCCAAGTGCAGATTTGAAACTCTGTAACTAGTTAATATTTACTGTAAATTGCAAAAATATAAACAACTTAGGTGTGTATTATGTACTTTTATTTTTTATAAGCACTTGGAAATGGCCAAAATGCAAAAAAGACACTATCCAATTTGAGAACTTATCATTTACAAAGTATGTCAGATACAGCAGCCAAATTAGTTTTCCTGTCATTTATGATCAAATAGATTCTTTCTCTGCTGTAAACTTATTCATTCTTGTTATAGGAATGTCAACATTACTGTTTGAAAAGGATGGATTGATTTTTTTTTTTTTTATGAACATCCTTCAAATTGCTTATTTTCATGATGTCAGCAGACAAGTTTGCAACTTTAAGAAAAAAATTTATATTTTTATCAGCTATTCTTCAATGTCTGAAGATTATGTGACAGAAGTTTTGTTTTGTGGATAATCTTCTATCAATGGTAAAAACATTTTTCTAGATTGGCTTGCTGTGCAGAAATTATGGATTTGTCAATTTTGGTACCTTATTTTGAGACTTAAGAAAACGTGAATGTTGGTAGCCTTATAATTTTCTATGCAAATACGAAGGTCAGGTGAAAGTTCATAGGCTGACCAACATAGTCCCCCTTGCGGTCTACATACTTGTTCCATTGGTGTTGCAGTGCTTATACCCCTTTGATGAAGAAGCTTTCATTCTGTTGGTTAAACAGAAGCAAATATGATGATGTCATCACACTGATACTGTTTCTCAGCCAAGTGTTTTTTCATCTTGGGGAACAGATGAAAGTAAAATCAGAAGAATAGGAAGGGTGATCAACCAGTTCAAAGCCACAGTCACCCACAGCAGCCATTGAAACCAAGGGCTTGTGTGCTGGAGCATTATTCGAATGAAAGAAGATCCCTTTTGTCAGTTTTCCTGGCTGTTTAGTCTTGATAGCCTTTCATAACTGCCTCAGTAAGTTTGCATAGTACACTCCATTGATGGTGTATCCCTTTTTGAAGATAGTCAAAAAACTAAGGCCATCACTTTCTCTGTAGTTGAAATGACCATGGCCATCTTTGGAGCAGGTGAGGAGGGGTGTTTCCACTGCATAAAGATTGTTTCTTTGTCTCTGACTCAAAGTGTCATATTGCTTCAGAATACAGTGGCACCCTCTGAGTAAAAACCTTTGTCATGCCAAGTTTATTATGCAGAATATTCTCAGCTCTCTCACCGGATATTCTAATAGCATTGGCTATTTTGTTTTATAGTCAATCACCTACCATCCATTATCATATGGTGAACGCAATCAATGTTTTTCTTGGTGGTAGCAGTTGCAGGACATCCAGACCTTGGGTTATCTTCAAGATTCTTGTTACTCTCATGAATTCAGCTGCCTACGTTTGCATTGTTGGTAAAGCTGGAGCATCATCATCCCCCCCTAATGATTCATCCATGTCAGCATGAATGCCCTTGGAGGCTAAACTTTTTTCCTCCTGGTACTTAATACTAGTTAATTTTAAAATCTTTGAACAATCAAATGTCAGTTTACCTGGAAAGAAATGCAATTATTAAGGAGCTGAAATTAATGTATGCAAGATTCACAGCGGAAGCATCACTCCTTTATATTCAACCTATGAACTTTTCAGCCCATCCTAGTAAACTAGTTTTGGCTTTTTTTTTTTTACCTTTTAAGAAATACATGCTATGAGCCCTTAAAAATGGTATTTCAGGTGGTCTACAAAATTAACTGAACAAAGAAACAAACCAATGACATTAAAAATTTGAAGAGCTAGTGTGACATTTAAATCTTTTCTAAGGTCAGATGCAGCTTGAAAAGCTGATTCTAACGTTGTACTTCATCAACCATTAGCTATCAACTTATCGCACAGGTGTTTCTAACAAGTTGAACAAATTTCTACCCGGGTATCAAAATAATGTAGAAAATTCTAACGTTACACAACAGGAAAACGGCAAAAATGAATTTAAGCTAAACTGAAAAATTTGTAGTTGTCACATAATTTGACTTATTGATATTATAATTTCATATTGTGAAGATTTTGTTCCAAATTTAAGAATTACTTTGCAGATTTTTTTTTTTTTTTTTTTTTTTTGTAACAAATTTAAAAAATGTAAAAATTAAGGACTCTGTCACTAAGAAAATCCTGAAAAGAATTATCACAATGACCCCAAAACAACTTAATGATCTAAGATCCAAAGGTGAAAGAATAGAAAAACTTTAAGAAAAATAATGAGATAATGTTGCTTTAACTATGAAAGCACATATAAAAAGTAATCAATAATCTACAGTTGTTAATGGAAAGTATTGAGCCAACCATATTTGGAAAGGTATCCCTTGTTTGCCTTTTGAGGTTTAATGTATTAAAATACATGGAATGGGTCACTAAAGCTACATAGTTTGCTGGTCAGATGATTTGAAATAAGAAAACCTTGTCTCTTATTCAACACAAAGAGCTTGAAATGAAACTTCAGTCTTTCTTTGACCTTTCTCTCTCTCTCCATTCAGTTTCCAAGTGAATAATGCAAGTGATCCACAGACATACAAAACAGTTATGTTATATTTACTACTACACAGTCTACAGAAGATCACTGACCATTTCATAACCTTTGTGTTATATTTGGTACCGTCATTGTCTCCTGAACCTTAAACTTATACTATATTCATAAATAGAAAGATGAAAAAAATTTATAAAAAAAAAAATAAAAACCACAGAATTTTTTCAAGGTATTTTCTTAATTCTGATGTGTTGGCATGAAATTGCAAGAAACACTTCACTCTTTTGTTAAAACTGACTACATAACTGGAACAACTGTAATCAATAGAATCATAAAAACTAATGTTTCAATCATGCAAATTAATATTTCCAGGCCTAAATTGGGAAGATATTTTTTCATATTAATTCATATTTTATGAGAGATCTGGAAAAATTTGAATACAATAAAAAGTTTTGTCAGATATTTTGCTTTCTTTGATCTTCAGTTATTTGTTGATTTTAATTGAAATCCCATTAAACATTCAATTTCTATGCATTATACGAGTCACTCTTTTAGAAAAAAAACTCACTTATTCCTAAATGGAATTATTTTGCATAAGTTTATCAAATTATTTTCAAATTAAAAATTGATAGATTTTTTATTGGTTTCCAAAGACTAAAAAGAATATTCCAGATTGAATTACCTCCCTTGATAGTTGTAGTAAAAATTAGGAGAAATACTGTTTATTTTATTTAAGACTTTTTCTTGAGTAAATTTATTTTTTTAAGACTATATTGTTGATATTTTATAAATCTCATTAGAATTATGAAATTCTGCTTTCCATTTTTCAGAGCCCAAAATGGACCATAAAGATGACTTCAGAGTTGTAAATGAGGTAAATAACCCAGTAAATTTTAGATTTAAGATTATTTCAATTGTTGAGAAAAATAAGAAAAATTACCTTATTTCATTATCTTTTTAAAATGCAGTAAAACTTAATACTTCAAAATAGAGGGGAAAAATATTTGCCTGACCAAGAAGTATTTTCAAAATAATTCTAATGTAAGCTCATCTGGCCAGATTTTGTCAAATGTGCTGAGAAAATTTCAGAAAACAAAATGCTGGCTAAAATGAATACCTTTGCATTCATTTTAGCCAGCATTTTGTTTTCTGAGAAAGGCACTCAATTTTTTTCTTTTTTAACTGCAAGGTCATAAGTTTAAGAATTCTAACAGAATTTAAGAAATGCATGAAGGTCATATTTTTGTGTTCATAATCTTCTCTTTACTATCATAGCCTAGTGTTGAATGCACACCTTTATTTTTTAATTACAGAAAATTTTTGAAAAAATATCAATTTTTGTTTGCAAAATTTTTTGTATGAAATATTTTTCAATTTATATATATTTTTTTAATTAAAAGTACTGATTTGGATTGTTATAGAATGTGTTATACAAGTCATTACCAGTAGAATGAGTAAACCTCACAGTTCACCACACTTAGTAAATATTTAGATACTTTTAATTTTTTGATGAGGTGCATTAATATTTGGCATTCGAAATCTAGTTTAATTTTTATCAATTCATTTTCAATAAAAGCTTAAAAGTTTTATTTCTTTGTAATTGTTTTTGTTTTTTACAGATTTGTGAAACGAGAAACTGTAATAAATGTATATTTTTTGAAGCTCGTAAAAAGAAAGATTTATACATGTGGTAAGTAACCTTCTTCTTTTATGTGCCAAGTCCTTTTGGGGAAATAAACAATCATGGCTCTCCATAAATTCCTGTTTTCTTATTCTAAGTAATTTTTTACTTTTTGCCATCATTTTTGTCTCGGTTCTGCAATCAATTCACATGTACTCATTAAATAGCTTACTCTCTGTAACAGCTGGCTTATCTTTCCTTCAAACTAATGAGTGTGTTAAATTCTCTAGGCATTCTTTCCTCGTTAAGTGTTCAAAAATATTATTTGTGAGTGTAAGTTTTAACTTCCTTCTTGTTTCCTATCTCCTTTAAGACTTCTTCATTGTTCACCTGTCCTTTGGTACTCATCAGGAGAACCACATCAAGTTACTTCAAGTCTCATCTTCATCTGTGAAGAAATTGCCCAGTATTCACTGCTATATTGGAGATTAGGTATTACATAACAGTTCAAAATTCTGTTATTTCCCTGTCTTAATACTGGCTTAGCTTTTGGAAGACATCTTTCACTATTGTTGTGTGCTTTCAGATTTTTGTGTCATATTTTCCACTGTGTTTAGTACTCTACCCTGATGTATTTCTGTACTTTCACACTTTGGAGTCTCTCTCTTTATGATGACCGGCATTCTGTTTTCTTACAGTTAATAGTTAATCCTTCCTCTTCTTACTCTCCATTGCCAAAGAGTTCTTTCAGTTTTCCTTTCAGAGTCTACTATTAACACTGTGTCATCTGCATATATTAAGATTATGTCTGTTGATTATGTCCTGGTAAATCTAGTTTTTTTTATTTTTTTATTTTTTTGGATCATGTTGGTATAATGATTGAATAAATCCATTGATGAAATCCATCCTTTTAAATATCTATAGTTTTATATTTAGCTTTCATATGGCAAGTGTCTTGGATATTCTTCAAATCAAGTACTGGTTATTATTGTCATTTGCTGTACACCAATGGACCCATTTTTTTCTGTATGCATTGCACAATCCAAATTCATATTTCACTATTGTGTGCCTTCTCTACCTTTGCACACACACACACACACACACACCCTTCTGTCATGATAATTTCTTGGGATTTGCATTGGCTTTTAACATTAAAAAACACTTATCTATTTCTTGTAAATGTTACTGATTCTTCAGTGCATAAACAACTATAATGGCTCTATTGAATGGCTTTCAGTTCAGAAAAGTTGCCAGTATCTCAGTATATATTTCCTCTTGGGTTTATCTCCTATTAACCCTACAAAATCTACTTTTAATTTGAAAAACTAAATTATTTATATAAATCAGTATTTACAACTTTTGAGATTTAAACTATTTAAACAGCCTTAGATTACTATTGAGATGAAAATCTCTTTTGCATATAATTATTGATATGTACAATTTATATAAAAGAATATTTTATTCCTTTTGTGACATTGCATATTCCTTTAATACCAATAGTTACACTTGTTTTTGCTCACTATTACAAAATAAGAATGTTTCTGTTTTATTGCATTTTATTCATTTTTTTTTATATTGGTAATCTTTTAACAGGAGAAATTCATAAAATCTGTCCGATTACTTGACATTTAGAAAATTGTACTTAATTTTATGATAGCTACAAGATTTTGAATTGCTATTAGGTGTGTGCAAAATATTTTAGACTTTTTTTTATTTAAAAAAAAAAAAAAAAAATAGTATTTAGTTTCTGTTTTCCAAAAGGAGGGTGCCAAAAACTTTTGATCATACTCAATATTACTTGGCTGCTTCTCTCCACCCAATTTTGAGGAGTTAACCAGATCTTATTAATCAATTGAAACATTTAACTAAAGCAGATTATTTAACACTTTTCACATAGAATTTTCATCATTCTTACTGGCTTATTTTTGCTTTATATAGCACTGGGTTGTGATCTACCCTTTACCTACTAAAACAAACAGTATATTTTGATAAGACCTGAACTTTTACTCAACACCTTAGCAACTGTTTCATGGCCATCAGTTTGACTGCTTCAATGACTAAAAGGAGTGTAAATCAGCTGCCAATTTGTTGTTCTTTACTCTTTAATTTTACATCTTTGTTTTATTGTATCTTTTATATCATGGCCTATTTTTTTTTTTTTTTTTTTTAATTGCTACAGTAAAAATGATTTTTATTTTTCCCAGGTTATCTAACATTAATGAAGGTCCTTCTGCCAAATTCCTTGTTGAAAATGGTAAGTATGTGAAAATGAAAATATTAATGTATTAAAAATAACTGTTTTTCCAGATGAAGACAACTTTATAAAGTTCATATGAAAATAAACTGAAGCCAAATCACAATATTTGGACAATGTTATCTATGTGTTTTATTGCTGTTTATTTTTGACATTTTGTCAATAACTGAAGATGCTGTATGATTTAAAATTTTTCTATTGATAAATCATCACTTTTAGTCATTATGTAAATATGCATTGGGTAAACAGGCTGTATTTTCTTGTCCCTGATCAAAAATAATAATAGATTAACCATATAAGAATCAGTGTAGATTTTAAGCTTAGTATCTTCTGGTTGTACATGTTGTAATTAAATATGTTTTGATACTGAAATGTTTTAACAATTATTTACTATTTTCTCTTGAAGTGGGGTTTGCTTTTTGGGGAAGCATACAAATCTTATATTCTTAATCTTTCTTGTTTTAGCCAATTTGTATTTCAACTTTCATTTGGTGCATAATTCATCTGATACGATAATTTTATTTTTGAATTTTAGTCAAAAATATTTCAGTTGCAACACTTTGTTCCAATTTTGTAACATTTTCTATTATCACAAACCCATCTTGTTGATTTGTTTGGTAATTTCTCTAAAATTGGAATTTTTTTATATTTGATTATGAATTTTCATGTCTGATATTCTATAATGAAGCATCATCACTTAAGTACCTCCATGAGATTGCTAAAAAAAAAAAAAAAGCATAGAATGATGAAAAGAACGCCAAACTTGACGAAAACAAAATTTTATCGTCTAAATGCTTATGTTGTTATTAGGAGGAAAGATCAAAGTTTATTTTAATTATTTTTTAAAATTTTTCCTTCTATTTAGAACATTGTAAATTTGGATTAAAAAAAAAAAAAACCTTGTTTCTCTTTGTATCACTGGAACTAGTAAAGTAACATTATACAATTTTTAGCATGTTTTTTTTTGTATGACACACATTAATTTGGAAAATCTTGCAAAAATAAAAAATAATTGTTGGATGTTAATGAAACTATCAGAAACTATTCACAGATGATCAAAATTATAAATGTTTTTTTTTTTTTTTTTTTTATTAAAGTCATGGCAGAAATATTTTTTTTTATATTTAATTAATTTTATGAAAATGCTAGAAATTCAATCGCATCAGGTTTAGTGATTACAATAGTTAAAAGCATAAGGCTTTGAGGAATGCAAATCATGTTTTTTTTCATTTTTTTGTTTTAAAAAATCAGCTCTGAATTGTAACATGCAAAACTCAATACGGATATATTATTTAATTTCAAATGCTTTTATTTGCTTTTAGTTGTTTTTATAAATATGGACAATATTTTCTGAAAGCAAAAAAAAAATTTTGATGAAAAATGAATTTTTAATACAATTATTTGTTATTTCTTTATTTATAATAGCTTTTTACATCTAAGTTGTTAAAATATTATAAAATTAGTTAAAAGCCACATCGGGTTTCCTAAGTGTCATTATGAGATAGATATTTTTTAGCGCGTTGTAAATTGTATCATTTTGAGTAATCAGAAGATCCGCAGCAATTAAATGTAATTTTGTGTTTATAATCGGGCTGTAATTATAAAGTACGGAAAACCAACCAGAATATAATTAAGTTGCATTATTTGAGTTAAGCATTGTTCTCCGCTGTTAAGGCCTTTACTTTTGCGAAACCCATGTGGAAAAGTTAATTTGATTTTTCAATTTCAACTGAGAAGGGTACCTACAAGTATCAGTATCATCTTATGAAATTTATATGGTCTTACTTTTATATTAATCTCAGTTATGACATTTTTCCATAAACGAAATATCAAAATTAATAATAAAATGAATGGAAATACAAATAACACAGTAAAATGTAATAAATGTACATAAAATTATAGTATTTTATGTACACTTCTGATAAAATTTCATAAGAAAGGTACCTATAAATTAATTAGATACCTTTCTTATGAAATTTAATCTCACTCTTAAGTCTTATTTTAATTTCTTTTAATATATTTTCCATAAAGCATCGTAAACGTAAAGATGAAAGTACAAAAAAATTAGAGTGCTGAAAGTTTTCCTTAAAAATAACGAAGTAAATAATTTGTTCATTTAAATGTAAATTATTTCACTTTTCTCCTTCCGTAGAACAAATTATCCTCATGGAATCTGTCTGTCATTCATCACCTGTCAAGTGATGCAAAAGTTTATGACCTGCTTTGTTTTATTTTCAAATTACATCTTTTCGGCACAGAAGCTAAGTTAATCTTGGTTCAAAATATTCTAAATAAACAATTTCTGATTTTCTTAAAATAAGTTTTGAAAAAATGATAATTGATATTTAAAAGAATTTCAAAGTGAGATTTTTATTTTTTTTATAAAATTTAAAAAAATGGTTGCCATCTTTCAATTTTGCTGACTCAAAAAAGACAAGATTTTTAACAAATTTCGGAGGTGCTAGAAACAATTAAAAAAATATAAAAAAATACCCCCAAAATACTTTGATCTTTCCTCTTAATAATAACAAACATTTAGACGATAAAATTTTGTTTTCATCAAGTTTGGCATCTTTTTCATCATGCTATACTCTTCTTTTTTAGTGATCTCATGGAGGTACCTATCATTACTCTACAAGTTGTTCAAACTTATATTAGCTTTTGGACAAATTATGCTTCCACATCTTAGTCATACAATTCATTAGATTCATCTATTAAAGATAACTTTCTATTTAAATATCAGTGATTCCTACAAATGGCAATTATTCTTAGGTTGTACTGAAACCAATCTGTTTGCATGTACCAAGTATTTTTGATCACATGCCATTTCTCTCTTCTGAAATGATTAATTTCTAATGAGTTGTGGTTGTCATTTTCTTTCTTCTACAGTGCATACAATGTGTGAATTGAAACTGACTGGCAACTGCTTGAAGGGTTCTAGGCCATTGCTCTCTTTTGATGAGGTATGTATTTTAATCTTCATTGGTTTCTGCTGCACTCAGTTTAATGAATATCAAGCAGATTGTCTTGAAATTGTTTTCAAACTCTACTTTGTTAATTTTTTGAGATTTGCGATTTTGTAACAACTCCAACTCTACTTTCCTTTGTGAATCTAACACTAGAGCCACCACCCAAATATCTATTTTGTCCACAGACACAGGCATCTCTTTTCTCATTTAACCAAAGAAAACTGAAATGTGCATAGTGTAACAGTTATTGAGGTGGAAAATTGAATTGGCAAACAGTTCTAGTTCCATGTTAATCTGTCGCATTCCCTTTTATTCTAATGCTTTTGGGAAAGGTCTGAATATCTCTTCTCCCAACCAGTTAGGGATTAAATAGCTGGACACTTTCTAGCCTTGACTGATAATCCGTCTAAAAGAAAACTGAATTCCAAAACATGAAGGCGGTAACAGAATGTCTCTCCACTCTTTTTCCCCAAAAATGCATGGCAATTCAGATAATAAAGAAAAGGAATATCTGGAAAGGCCTGATCATCTCTATCCTTAATGAATTTAAAAACTTTTATAAGCAATTTTATCTTAATATTAGCTGTACAAATGATATGCAGATATTAAATCCTTCCTGATACTTTTCCAAAGCTTTTTTTAAGCAAGTGGAAATTCCATAAAGAACAAATTACTAGTTGTTTTCATCTGCATAACAATGCCAGTCCTGCAAAGAATTCCTCTAAATATACCTCTGTTCATTCATTCACTACACATTTGTTCAAATACTAGCTTTGCCATGTGAATAAAACAAATTCACTGGAGTTTTCCTTGTATGATTTTTATTTACTGTAAAAGTAAAATGCAAGTATTATTAATATTTACTAAGCTTAGTGCAGCTCAAAGCTGGCAAAAATGTGGATAAAAAGGATTATTACTCCAAGCATTCAAGAGACCTTACTTGGAAATCAGCATTTGAAACAGGTTTTTTTGGGTTTTTTAATTTTTTTTATTACTTAAGCACATCAACATGTTAGGAAATACCCTCAAATACCCTCTCCTATATATATATATATATATATATATATATATATATATATATATATATATGTTCAACTTTTATAATTTGGAGCAAAAAATATTGTTTAAACTTTTAACTTTTTTCCTTTCTTTAAAGAAATTTGATAAAGAACCTCACTGGAAAATTTTAAAAGAACTTTTTATACAGGTAAGTAAGAGTTCATTTTTGTGAATTATACTTTTTTTTTTTTTTTTTTTAAACTTTGCCAGTTAGTGTTTTAAAATTAATGACTTGTTCCATTCTATAACTTTACATAACCTATTGAAAAATAGGCATATCTTATGTTATGAGAATATTTCATCTTATCTGAATAATAAATTGAAGCTATTTAAGTTTTATTTCAGATAAGTTTAATAATTAAATACTCCGTCAATCGTAAATGTTTGAGCACATATTCTCATATGGACACCTTATTTCATTATTTTATTTCCTCTCTCTCTCCAGATTTTTGGAACTCCAAACCATCATCCCAAAAGTCAGCCTTTCATTGATCATGTGTTCTTCTTCTCTATTTTGGACAATCGTATTTGGTTTAGAAATTATTCCATAACAGATGAATTAGCTTCACTTACTGAAATTGGTTAGTATATTTAAAGACCTTTTAAAATTTGAACATTTTGTTTACATTTGAAGATAATTTCCTGGGTTGGTTTGTTTGTTTTGTTGTTTTTTTTTGTTTTTTTTTTTTTTTGTTTTTTTTTTCTTTTTTAACTTAAATTCATTTTTAAATTCAGTATCTGGATATTTTTTTTTTTTTTTTTTTTTTTAAATTTTCTCAAATGTTATTCTTTGTAACCCCAAAGTAAATTGATGAATTCTTTTAGAAAGTGGAATTTTTTTTTTTTTTTTTTTTTTTTTTTTAATACAAAACTAACTAAATGGTTTTCACTCTGAATTAAAGTTAAAAAAAAGAACCTGCATTAAATAACATTTGATAGAACTGAAATTTTAGAAAAAAAATAATTTCAATATAATTTCTGGGTGTTTTAACATTTATAAATGTGTTTTACCTATAATACATCCTTTTAGTTTTTGTCTTTTCAGCTGAATGTTAAAGAAAACATCAACATTCAGTATATCTACTTTGTCGTTTTTTGTTTGGCTTTTTTTTTTTTTGTCAAAAACCACACACACACTTTTACTGTATAATGCATAACTGATTTTGAAATTTCTTGACTTTTTTTTATTTTATTTTTTTTTCCTTCCTTGTCTGGATATAGGTCCAAGATTTGTACTAAATCCAGTCCGGATATTTGAAGGTAGTTTAGGTGGCCCTACTTTGTATGTGAATCCGCATTATCAATCACCCAATGAAGTAAGTATCACAAGAGAAATTCCAATCTTTTACAACCTAATTTGCCAGTGAATCCCATTAAATATATTTAGATGCTTTTCTACTTATTTCTGTACTTCAGTTAAAAAAACAAGAATTGATAATATTTTCATGTTTAAATAAGTTTACATGTTTTAGATCTGACTTGCATACATATTTGTTAAACTCAACACATAAATTTGAAATAACATTAAGAAACTTTTTTTGGCAAATAATTTGATGACATCAGTATTTTTTTTAATTTAAAGCAAATCTATCAAATAAATTCAGATTCACTTAATGTTATATTTTTTCATCAACATTCATGAGAATTTGTTTTCAAATGCTCATTATGAAGATGGGGAGGAAAACTTTAAAAAAAAAACGGAAAAATCTTCGAAAAAATTTGACTTAATTTTTTTTCTGTTTTCTTTGGAATTAACTTTCCTTTTTTTCTTTCTCTCTTGCTAGTATCGAAAACTTCTTCGCAAGAAATATGCTACTAAGTACATGGGTCGTGTGAGTGCAAAAATTGGCCATGAAGAACGCAAGCTGAAAGAGTCCTATAAACTTGATCAAACCAATGATGTCTTTGTCACTGTTGGGCCAGGAGATGTGGAAGAATCATGAATTTCATTTAAACAAACTAGTTTATGTATGCAACTTCCAAATTAAAAAATTTTGTTTAAATGTTTTTTTTATCTCTCTTTCTGATTTTCCAGAAATTGTCATTTTTGATAATGGCCTATACCTTTTGTTAGATTTTACTACTTTTGTAAAATACCAAATAAGCAAAGAAAAATTGCTTTAATTTTAACATTTCCAGATTCTTCAGAAAAACAAAATAAAATTACTTTCATTAAACTATCAGTATCGGCCATTATGTATCCCTGTTGCCAGCCTGACTGACACTGAAGAAATATTTGGTTTGTCGGTTGAAAAATGACAGTTTTCTAAAAGCTAAGAAATGGTATTTATCTTATTACTATTGTTATTTTACTACTTTGTGTGTTTGTCTTTTGCTTTTTGGTTGCAACAAGATCCAATCTCGGATGAATTCATGCTTGGAAGGAAAAACAATACTTTCTGAAATGTTAGTAGTTAATTACACTAGCGCCACTATACCCAGAATTTGTTGACAGTGCCGTATCAATTTATTTTACAAGGATCACAATTACTCTTTAATTTACACGTTTAAATCATTTTAACAATATGCTATCGGGTTGCTTTTAGTAATCTTCAGGATATTCTCTAAAGTTCATGTTTTCTCTAGACAATCTTAAGCATTGAACTTAAAACAGTAAAAGAGAAGATAAAACTTAAAAGTAGAAATACAGAAATTAGTGCAGAATTTATATTTTCTCACCTGCTCAAAATGAAGCTGAGAGTCTTGGGATAGTTGTATGTTTCACTAAGTGGTTTTGAGTCCAAGTAAGAAGCAGGATTTTGAATGCTGATTTTCAAGGCAGGTCTCAAGATTGCAATACATTCTTCCTACACCTCTTTAGCCTTGTGCCAGACTACACAAAGTAAATATCTAAATTCTAATCCTGGCTTATTTTTCAGCTTTTGATTTGCTATCAATGATAGAGAGAAGTAGACAGCTCTGCCAACAATGAGGGACCAGAGACTACTGCCAACACACAAACTTAATGAATTTCTTGATTGTCTTATTTTCTTGCTTCAGGTGAATAAAAGGTGTGACTTGTCTGTGCAAATGAGTTTACTTCCTTGGTATATTAGACATTATTTCTTTTCTGTTCATCATAGTTAACAAAAAAGAGGTCCTTTACTTTCTTTACAGAATGCACTGATGAAGATATCTGTAGAATTGTAATGATGAAATTAGACATTCCCTTATAGAGAAACATCCAGTATTCATTGATCAAACAATTACTATTGGTTGAAATTTAAATCTTTTTATTCAGACATTTTTTTCAGGAAATTAAACTTCTCTTGTATACTGTAATCACTCTTCTAATATTGATGGGAGTTTCCTTCCAAACATTTTGTTTTTGCTAGTGTGGAAAGTCTACACGACTTTCCCTTCTAGTTACCATTTTTCTTGCTGTTGGCAGTCTTTGTGATGTGATAAAGGTCCTTGGGTTTTGGAGGCACAAATCTATGGAGTCTGAGGAAAGATTTCATTTTCTTGAAGCCATATCTAATCATTGATCTACGAAAACGTGATATCCATATAAACGTCTAGAGCCAACAAAGCACATTTGTTTTGTTTTAGGTTAATATAATTTTAGGAAATGTCAAAAGGTGACGGAATTGAATTAAAGGAAAGCAAAGGCACTGATATGCTTTGGGTTCTAGTTCACACACACACACACACATATATATATATATATATATAAAATAGAAAAGAACTGGTTAGGTAAATAATCCAAAGTTCTTTAGTATTTTTGTTATTTTTAAAAAACAGTGCTCGATACAAAAATAGAGCCTAAATATAATTATTTATTTAAAAATATGATTCCGACACGCTACATAAGAGGTCTCAAGTTTCAAAACAAGAGCCGAAAACTTCAATATAATTATTTGAATTAATGCTATTAAAACACGTAAATTTCAGAAATAAGTTATTCCAAAAAAAATATCGCTTGATGGAACAGTGCTTACTTTAATTCAATTTAATTCAAATAATTATATTGAAGTTTTAGGCTCTTGTTTTAAAACATGAGACCTCTTATGTAGCGTGTTGGAATCATATTTTAAATAAATAATTATATATATACATATAAAAATAATATCTGTGCGTGTGTGGACATATGTGTTTATATATGTTGTAGCATAGCTACAGACAACAATGGGTGTGTCCCCCATTCACATAAATACAGTATGTTGGTCTGCACTTGCAGATTCGTCTGCAGTTGCAAGATTAGATTTTCTGAGCGTTTTCCTTGTGGATATACGACCAGCTTGTGTGGCAAAACTTCACCGACTAAGTTTTTGACTTTCGTTTTAGAACTTGTTTGAATTTTTAAGTTTTTTCTTTGTTCTGTCTATTTGTGCATGTTTTTCATTTCTTTTGTTGTTTATTTTGCTTTCTTATAAATTTACCCTCCCCTCGTGTTTAGTTTGAATTTCTTATTGTCTTTGGTTTGCCATATTCGTTTTATATTTTGTTCTCGAGTTTGGATTTTGTTATGAAATAATATTGGACAATAATTTCATTTTAATTCCCTGCGACTACTTAGTCGCAAGACTTTGTTCAAATGACAGTTTAAAAAAAAGAAAAAAGCCACATAGGCAAACATTCTTCATTTATTTTGTCGCGATAGGACCAGTCTGGCCCTATCATAGCGGACAATGCAGTGAACATGGAGGAGGAGGAGTCACCGCCACAAAAATCAGCCTGGAGTGAGGGCAGATCCCAAAAGGATTCAGCATTATATAGGGCCTTCAAAGAAAAATACGACACTTTTTTTAAAAGGCAACGAATTGCTTACAATACCAGAGGCAATTGATGCCATCAACACAAGAACAATCTCTCTGCTGACAACAGACGTCGGAACACGTAAACTGTTTGGTGTTAGTAGAGAGACGCTAGAGGAGGCGCTAAAGAGCCTCAAAATAAGCCCCAAAATTTTAACAAGGTGGACGAATGCTTTATGGGACATGTTGCTTACCACTGAGGAAGAGGCAAAAAAATTGGCAGGGACTACTCTCGCAACAAAGTCTGTCTGCCTGCAGACGGAATATTTAGGAATGAGGAGGACAAAGGTAACATGGAGTCGCAGTGGATATTACCGGCGATAGACTGGGCGCCCTTTTCTCTCAGTATGAGGTCTCAGCTATTACAAGTAAAGCTGGAATTGCCACTGGGGATTTTGTGATCCTGACTAGGAAAGGCTTCGGTGACATCCCTAATACACTGATGTTTGTCCGTGAAGGGCAGGGCGGAAGGTGTGCTACATACGTTTTCCCCATTGTCCGTTCTTTCGCTCTATAAAGATCATAGAAAGCCGCTCGAGCGCTCTCTATCCTCCGTTTTATGGAGGGGACGCAAACATCAGGTCGACAGAGCAGTCTGTGCACAACGTCCTTGTCACACTTGGTGAGCCACAAATTCGCCTCTAGGTTGGTTTTCCTACGCTGCGCATCGACAGGAGATCCGATTATGGCGGGGATTGTTAGGGATGCGTTCCCTCGCCTTACTATCACCCCCCCCCCGTCTCGCGGGCGGAGCGCCGTCATAAGCCCCAGGATCAATCGGATTTCCTTCGCGAGTGTCGGTACGCCTTGACGATCATTCCTCGTTCCAGTGACCTTTCACGGTCTAGGAGGGTCTTCTATCGTTATTTAGTGGAGGGGGTCGCGAAGGAACCTCTACATCAGCGGCTCGACTTGTCGGAGGAGGAATTTCGCTCTTTCTGGTCTTGGGCGCCAGCGGCGGATTATCTCAGTAACCCTGAGTTTTCGCTTACCTGGCGATTGGCTCGGAATCGGCTGCCTCTCAATGACAAGGCCTTCATATGGGGCTTGGCGGATTTGCCAGACTGTGACCGTGGTTTAGAAGAAACGGCTTCGCACGCCTCCTACCATTGTCCCCGGGTCTGCCCCGAAAAGCTCGTGCTCATGGATCGCGCATACACGTGTAACAATGTGTCGCCCCCGTATTCTGGGGTGAAGCGAGTGGTGTTTCTGACGCTGCTGGCCACGGCCCGAATGGTGATCTGGACGACGCAAATGGAGGAATTCTTGCGAGTCAGCCGTCTTTCTCATCAGGATCTGATCCGATTCTTTGAGAATCAGCTCAAGATGAAGATTAGAACTGATAGAAAGCGCTTGCATTCGACAGTCATCAGCGAAAGGTGGGTAACTGAGGCGAGCTTGGTTCACTTGAACGGGGCTAGCTTTGATTTTCTCTTTCATGTCAACCTACGTCACATCGGATTGGTTTCCTGTGGAGCCCTCCCCTTGTTTAGGTTAGACAAGCCTTTGTGTACCTAGTAAGTAAGTGTCGTTCCTGGCCTGTTCCCGGCTGTATCTTTGGTTATGATCCAAGTCGAGATTCCCAACCTCCCCAGTTTGTTTTGGCCTCTTTTTTTCATCTTGACTGGGTTTTATTTCCCATGTCCGTTTATATTTTCACCTTTCCCACTCCCTTAGAGAGAAAGCTTCTTGATTTTCTCCGATGGGCAGAATACGGCGGCCTCTCTGCTTTGAGGGTTGGACAGGCCCTACTAACATCAGTTATGTTTAGTTACTTTGTGTCGATGTTTAGTTTATTATTGGGTTCATCTCCCTCCCCTCTCATATTTAATCATCCATAAACTTTTAAGTATAAATTTTATAATTAGATTTTTATGGCATGGGGCGCGTTTTGTAGGTCCCCCCTTGGGAGGATGCGGTATTGTGGTGTATGGAGGATTGACTGGTGACGGACGAGTTTTTATGGTGAATGTGGAAATTGTAATGAGTGAATGGGTCGTGAATCAGATTAGCTAGGTATAAGATAGTTAGTGTCGACCAGCCTCAACCCCTCCCCTTTTTTTGACCTTGTGCCCTAATTGTATTTTAAGATACAATAAATAACTATTCGTCTCCAGCTGTACTGGTCAAACTCTCTGACTCTGAGCAGAGACGGTCCCCAGATGAGAGTCTCGTCTCGGGAAATC